TTCTTTGATCCAGACTTCATCTAAATGTGAGTCTGCTTCTAGTGAATCTATGTCCATAGTAGTGTTCAATAAAGCTTCATAAATAAAATCTGGGTGGAACAGATAAAACCTTTTAGGTTCATGAAATTAAATGTTCAGAAAGTGAACATTTAAATATAAATGTTAATTATAAATATACTAGAAGCCCAGAGCGTGAAATCGCGCGGCCCCGCCCACCCACGCTGGTCTTTGGTTGTTACGGCGTTAGGGCCACAGGCCTTTTATAATATAGATTTTGGAAGAAAGATATAAAATAAAATCATCCTTACATAACCAGACCATTACACTAAAAGAACATCCTATTCAGTAATGTGCTGGTATAAGTTTACTCACAAGGTTCTCAAAAAAATTTTTCTCTGATTTATTGTATTTCCTTATTTCTATGGTGCAAATAACAATTCTTGAGAGATAATTTGGTTTGTGAATAAGAAAAGCATAGGCTCTGGAGCCAAAATCCCTGGGTTCAAATCCTGGCTCTATCATGTACTAGCTGTGAAATCCTGGGCAATTATGTATCCTCTCTATGCCTCAGTTTCTCAACCTATAAATGGGGATAATAATCATACATACCTCTAGATGCACTGTGAAAATTATAGAGTTAATAAATATAAAGTATTAATACATAGTAGCAGTTCAATGAATATGTTATTATTATTAATTCTTTCCTTTTTCCAAGACTCTGCTTTACTTGTCATTTTATTTTGCTTGGCATTTTATTACAATCATAGGCTATTTTTGTTTACTAAATTTTAATGTCAGGTTATAATAATAAAGACTCATTCTGTTCCAACAATCCCAAATTGGTAATAAATACATCAATGGTGCAATAGGGATAAATATGACTATAATGCTATATATTTACAAATAGAAATAGTATTATTAAAAGTTGTAGTTAATACTATGAATATTTTTCTGCTGATACTACCTATAATGTCAAAATTAGTGGAAAAGGGTATTCATAAAACTATAGAAAACCAAAGGGGAAGTAAATGAATACAAATATGGTTCCTCAGTCCAAAAAAATTATTTGGACTTAATCTAATATCTCACTAAATTTCTGAGAAAGGTTAGTTCAGATAAAATCATTTCCACTTTTATTAGAAGTGAAATGTTGGAGAACTACATTTGGCAAAGAGCCAAGAAACGAATTATAGTTTGTGACTTACAGTGAAAAATATTGTAATGACAACTTTTTAAACTACCAGTCTAATTTTCATACTTGAATGCCTCAGTCTCATTGCAAATTAAGATTCCAGGTATTCCATGTTCCCATTATTTTTCCTTATAAAATTATGTGGCTCACCTATGTCCTTTTCCATTGCTCTGGCCAGCTCCTCAACAGTCATTCCAATCCATACCTCCACCTCCTTTTTAGATTTTGTTGAAGATAACTGAGACTTCCGTGGCCTTACTTCCTATTAAAAAATCAGAACGCATGGAGTAAGAAACAACTTTTTAGTGACAATTTATATTTATTCTGGAATATCTACCACAATCACAGCTTCTACTAAGAATTAACACTCCCGTAAACAGGTAAATCTCAAGACTAAATTTTAAAATCCTGCATCCTTAATTCACTGTTCTACACCAATTTCCAAGTAACCAAATTCATCAGCATTACAGAACAACTAGAACTTCCCTTCTTCACAAAGATTTATTACCTGGAGTGTAGCATTATGGAATAAAGAGTCTGTAAATGACAAAATACTCAAAATGGACTTCTACTCATGGCTCCAGGCACTTTCATTTCAGACCAAATAATACAGTAATGCCAGAAATCTACAACTACCTTCTTTGTTACTAGAAGCCTATATTGAGATAAAGCAGCCCCAAAGAGCGAATCTGTTTGCCAGGACCCGGTGTGCTGCGGAGCTGGCCGCACTGGGTAAGCAGATGAAAACACACGCCTCCATTGTGCTAACGTTCTTCTTTGACCTAGGCTGTGCAGCTGTCTACAAACAGTGTGAAATCGTAGCAAGTTCTCCAACTTCAGCAACTTCTGGTTCATGTTTCTCCTAGAAAAAAAAGTTTTAAAGTAGTATTTTGGTTAATATTTAAATCAAGTTAGCAGATATTAATTGATATCTCCTCTACACAAAGTAAAGTACTAGAGCAGTGGTTCTCAACCTTCCTAATGCCGCAACCCTTTAATACAGTTCCTCATGTTGTGGTGACCCCCAACCATAAAATTATTTTCGTTGCTACTTCATAACTGTAATGTTGCTACTGTTATGAATCGTAATGTAAATATCTGATATGCAGGATGTATTTTCATTGTTACAAATTGAACATAATTAAAGCATAGTGATTAATCACAAAAACAGTATGTAATTGTATATGTGTTTTCCGATGGTCTTAGGCGACCCCTGTGAAAGGGTCGTTCGACCTCCAAAGGGGTCGCAACCCACAGGATGAGAACCGTTGTACTGGAGTGACAATGAATAAAAGTGGGTTCCTGCCCTGGAAGAGCTCCCAGTCCAGTAAGAGTTGGGATTCCATTCTAACTACTCTCTAGACGTTAAGTATTATTATTGTTAATGTTCCTACTATGATAGAACTGAAATATAGTAACAAAATTATAAAGGGCTTTTTTCACTCTTGAAAAACATCAGCTAATCAAATTAAAAATAGAGTGATTTGCTAACATGCAAATATGAACTCATCAGCTCTCTGCTAAACAACTACCAATGCCCCCCCAGTTTAATGTACAACTTCAAAACATGCTATATCTGCCCTCTGCTAATCTCACTTCATTTCCTACCCTCTTTTTTTTTTTTTTAATATATTTTATTGATTTTTTACAGAGAGGAAGGGAGAGAGATAGAGAGTTAGAAACATCGATGAGAGAGAAACATCGATCAGCTGCCTCCTGCACATCTCCTACTGGGGATGTGCCCGCAACCCAGGTACATGCCCTTGACCGGAATCGAACCTGGGACCTTTCAGTCCGCAGGCCGACGCTCTATCCACTGAGCCAAACCAGTTTCGGCGGTTTTCCTACCCTCTTAATAGTCCCCTCACTCCTACCTCCCAGGCTTTTGCTATTCTTACCCACTTATAATCTCCAAAGGTTTTTCATCTATCTTTAAAAATTTGTATTGATTTTAGAGAGAGGAAAAGAGAGATCAATTTGTTATGCCACTTATTTTTTAAAATATATTTTTATTATTTTAAAAAAATATTTTTATTGAGAGAGAGAAATTTGTTATGCCACTTATTTATGCATTCATTGGCTGCTTCTTGTATGTGCCCTGACCAGAAGTCGAACCCGCAAGCTTGGCGTATTGGGACTACGCTATAACCAACTGAACTACCTGGCCAGAGCCTGTCATCTAATTTTGAACCTTTGCATAAACTCCCTCTACGTGAAATTGTCCTTCAACATTCACCATCTTCCCCTCCCCCTCCCCTCCAGATACTTTAGAGAGGGAAGAAGACACCCCATAAATATCTATTAAATAATGCCTTCTGATGCCCTAATCAGTTTGGCTCAGTGGATAGAGCGTCGGCCTACGGACTGAAGGGTCCCAGGTTTGATTCTGGTCAAGGGCATGTACCTTGGTTGTGGGCACATCCCCAGTAGGGAGTGTGCAGGAGGCAGCTGATCGATGTTTCTCTCTCATCGATGTTTCTAACTCTCTATCCCTCTTCCTTCCTCTCTGTAAAAAAATCAATAAAATATATTAAATAATGCCTTCTGAATATCATTCTTGGAATGGAAGAATTAATTGGGAGAACACTGCCACAGAATTCAATTCAGCAGTATACTTCTTTTCCTCCTGAGTCTTCTGTTCCTTCTGCTTCCAAGACTGCATTTCTACAGCTTTTCTTTTCAGTTTTTAAGGGGAGGAGCAACTACAATAATGTAAGAAGTGCATGTTTTCTCCTCAGCAAACATTTTCTGAGCACCAGCTTCCGGCAGTGTGTTTGAGGTTGTTGATTCATAGTTTAATAAGCCAGAGCCCCTTCAGAGTTCACAGTCTCTAGGTGTTCCCATGTAATGATCCTCAGGCACATTGAACACCTCAAAAGTGGCACATTTACAGTACCTTCTTTAGGCACTAGAGTGTGCTCAGGAAGCACCGGACCCCTTAGAAAATAAAAAATAATTTTAATGAGCCCCAAACCAGATTTCACAAGGACGCACAGGAGGAAAGGCCCTGCACAGAGATTAACCAAAGCACAGATACGTAATTAAGGCCAGAATTAGACAAACACATTGGGTGCAATAATCCAAATATCAAAACTGGAAGGAACCTTACTTGTTACTTAATTTCAAGCCCCTCAATTTAGAGAAAAGAAAAATAAAGCCAGAGAGCGAGCGAGCGAGAGAGAAGAAAAAAGAACCTTCTCGAATGTCATACCGCTAGTTAATGGCAGTCAGGACTAGAACCCAGGCTTTCTGACACCCAGTTTGGCGTTCTCGCGCCGCTAGGAAATTCATGGAATCTGGAAAAGGATGTTGGAAATATCCAACATGCAGCTGAACTGGTGGACACGTCTGAATGGAACTGGAAGCCTTGGGACTTATCTGAAAGGTAAAAAGAAGTCACTGTAGAGAAAGCCCGGATCTGGCGGCCTCGAACCCGAGCCCGACAACCTTGGGCACAGGGGAGGCTGGGACTGGGGTCCGCACCTGCCCCGGCGCTCCGGCTGCAGACCGCTTCGGAAGCCTGAAGTAGGGTCACGCAGGGGAGAAATGCATCCTGGAAAAGCGCAATGTGTATGACTTGTGCCACTGACACTCTAGGTCAAACAACATACGCCACCCGGACGACCGGCTGGGGGACCCCACTCACTCAGCTCCTGCAAAAGGCCTGCAGGCTCTGGACTCTGAGACCAGGCGCAGATCACCTTCTGGACCTGGGGGAACTGACGGTCAGTCAGTCCGTCTCCGAAACGGTCCCCACTGGGCTTCCGGTACCGCCGGAAGCGGTTCTTCCCCGAATTCAGAGGTCCGCATCCGGAATAGTAGCTCTTGCTGCCAGGACCAGGGTCGGGTGGGCGCTGCCCAGCGCGGGAGGCGCTAGTTCAATGTGTAGCCTCTTCCCGGGGTCAGCCGCGCGTCGGTAATCGCTTCTGCAGGTCCCCTCCTTTTCTAGAAGTTTATTACTGCTCTTCTGGGGCTGTGAGCGCCTACCCTCCGAGGGAAGTTAAACCCGGAAATGTGGGAGAAAGGATAGGTTCTTATAAGACACATACAAGGAAAAAATACCAGGGAACGTGGCCCTGACTAAGTCAGGTATTGCATGTTTTAAAAATTCTTGCAGCACACCGGTTGAAAATCGCTGGGCTGTCGTGCTGGAGGTGGTGAAAAGGGAAAGGAGGCAATTGTGATGGATTAGTTATGGGGTGGCTGGGTGGTGGTGGTGGTGGGGAGTGGAGGTGGGCTTAGGGGAGGGATTCATGCCTTGCATAACTGATGGATGAGATTTCTGGGTAGACGATGTGCTGGATGCACTGCCAATTTTATCTCTTTTCATTCTTTTGTAGCTACCACGGAGGTCCTACCCTTGGTTAATGTTTTCCTACTTTTGGGACATAATTTACATTGCTTAGGTACAATCAGATTCCAATTATTCTTTCCTTGCTTACTCTCTAGTCACTGTGATTGGATTTGGATATTTAGTCTTCAAAGTCTTCAAATATTTAAGGACAATCACTCGGGCTATGCCTTATCTTCCAAAGGGTGATCTTGTTATTGATTGCTTTCTACTTTCATTCTTAGAGGAAAAGCTAATAAAAAAAGTGAGCCCCACCAACCTTACATGCCAAAATAAATTTTAATGTATTGAGTGTTCTTTTTTTTTTTTTAAATATTTTTTTAAATATGTTTTATTGATTTTTTACCGAGAGGAAGGGAGAGAGATAGAGAGTTAGAAACATCGATGAGAGAGAAACATCGATCAGCTGCCTCTTGCACATCCCCTACTGGGGATGTGCCCGCAACCCAGGTACATGCCCTTGACTGGAATCGAACCTGGGAACCTTCAGTCCGCAGGCCGACGCTCTATCCACCGAGCCAAACCGGTTTTGGCGAATTGAGTGTTCTTAATAAAAATTAGGTGGAATGTGAAAGCCGTTAACATTTATACAGTAGCTAAATGAGCCAAGACATAAACAAAGCTAATTCACAAATGGGGAAATAAAAGAATAAACATGAAAAAAAGTTCCAGGTAAGCCTCTCTCCCTTGTCTGTTTTCTAAGCACTCAGTAATCTATAATAATAAAAGCATAATATGCTAATTAGACCAGACAGCTGAATGACCTTCCGGACGTCCTTCTGGATGAAGCTGCGGTGGCGGGGGCTGAGGCAGAGGTGGTTAGGGGCGATCAGGCAGGCAGGCGAGCGGTTAGGAGCAGTGGTCCCAGATTGCGAGAGGGTGCAGGCTGGGCTGAGGGACCCCCGCCCCCTGAGTGCACGGATTCCGTGCACTGGCCTCTAGTGTAGTATGTTTGCTTTTGTTATTGACCTGAATTTAGGTGGCCATGAGTAGTAAGTAGCCTGTTGGTTCATAATCAGAGATCAAATAATTAGATGAAACAATAATTAGTAGGGAAACATGGCTCAGTAGTTTTTAGAAGTGGTTAAACTGAAAAGTTTTATTATATTTTTAAATATATTTTTATTGATTTCAGAGAGGCAGGGAAAGGGAGAGAGACAGAAACATCAATGATGAGGGAATCATTGACCGGATACCTCCTGCACGCTCATGTGCCCTTGACCGGATGGAGCCCAGGACCCTTTAGTCCACTGAGCCGTGCAAGCAAGGGCAAGCTGAGAAGTGTTATCATGTGCTGTCCAAGGCCAACCTGGGTGAAATTGTGAAGTCAGTTCTTGCAGTTTCCACCAAGGCCTATGCAGTGAGGACCCAGATAGATACTTTGTTGTGTCTTCTGAAGGGGCTTCCTTTTCCAGGCCTTCAGTTTGCACCCCAGAAATGACCTAAATCTATTCTCACTGGAGTTAGACATCCCTTGGATTATCTATGTTTATTTGGGATTTGAGGCTTAATCTAATTTCATAAATGAAACCCTAACGTGACATTTCAGGCCTCATACAAGGGTTCAGTGAAGTTTCTAAGGATAGCAGAAGCCACCCCAGCAGAGGCAGGCAAACTGCTTCTGAAAAAGCTGGGTCCAGGCTGCCGCAGCTAACTATTCACAGATGAATAATAACAAAAGTTAACTTGCAGAAAGGGTAAAGAGGAATTATAATTAAAAAATTGAGAAGTCTTAAAAGGATAGGGATTGGCCCCCAACGCTCTCCCTGATGGTTCACAAACTCAGGGAGTTTCCCTGGTGAAACCTGAAACCGTCCCCTACACAGAGGACAAGCAGAAACCGCAGAGGCAGGCCGCTCCATGTTGGCAGGTGACAGGTTTAATAAGCAAGGGCACTTGTTAGGCGGCTTGTCTTGGGAGGCTGCAAGACAAGACCTCCATCCAGTTAGTTTGTAGTATGTTATACAGAGGCCATAACACGGTTCAGTGGCCTTTACTGTCCAGATGGTCTCAACACATTACTCTTTCAAGGTTGCTTCCCACAGGTGCAACCTTTAACATCAAAACGCTCACGTTCTCTGATCTTCCCTCCGCGCAGGTGTTGAAAGGCTGCGTCCAGGGACAGCTTTCAGGAACGTGAAGGGAGGGGCGCACGGAGATGGCACCGCCCCCTCCGGAAGTCCCCGCCCATCCCCCGGAAGACACCGCCCACCC